GCAGAAAAGCTTAAAACTACCACTTTTTATACACGTTATTTCACGTTAGTTACTGTAATACTGTATGTTTATGTAACAAAATCAATATCGTTTATGGCCTTCACACGCGTGGAGCTTCTATGAGGTGCTTTTTTTGTTGTCACTGTTTGAAGGCATTAAATACAATTTTGTTTGCATTTGAAGACTGCTATTTTGGGAGTTTTGGGAAGGATGCATAAAACGAAACTATAGTAATTGAGTCCTAAAACAAGGAAAACAGAAGAAACTGAATCACTTGGAATTTCCCACACCCCTGAATAAAGCGGCATGCTGGAGAAAGGTGCTATAGCAGATGAAGATGAGACCTTGGTGGCTAATGGAGGTGCATGACCCAAAGACACATTTGTTTGGACTCAGAAGTTCCCGGTAAGCTACTGAAAGTGGGAAGGAACCAGCCATTATGGAATCTACAGCATCAGCTGGATTGTCTGTTGACCCACCTGAAAAAATTGCTAAGATAAAATAAGATATCCAGTAGCCATATCACCCTGCAACTCGCAACTGACAACCCACTGAAGCTAAGCAGATGTGAGCCTGGTCAGTACCTGGATGAGAGACCTACTGGGAAAAACTAAGGTTGCTGCTGGAAGAGAGGCCAGCAAGGGGCGCTCACCCTGCGGTCCATGTGGGTCCTAATGCCCCAGTATAGTGATGAGGACACTATACTGTAAACAGGCACTGTCCTTCAGATGAGACATAAAACCAAGGTCCTGACTCTCTGTGGTCATTACAAGTCCCAGGGCGTTTCTTGAAAAGAGTACGGGTATAATCCTGATGTCCTGGCCACATTTCCCATTGGCCCTTACCAATCATGAGCTCCTAATAATCCCAATCTGTGAATTGGCTTCATTACTCTGCTCTCCTCCCCACTAATAGCTGATGTGTGGTGAGTGTTCTGGTGCATTATGCCCACCATTGCATCATCCAGGTGGGGCTGCACATTGGTGGTGGTGCAGGGGAGTCCCCATTACCTGTAAAGTGCTTTGAGTGGAGTGTCCAGAAATGCGCTATAAGTGTAAGCAATTATTATTATTATTATTATTATTATTATTATAGACAACCAAAGGACATTGAAAACAGTGTCTCAGGAGAAACAATGTTATAGATCTGGTGAATTTGGACTTTGTTTTAGCTTTTTTCCTCTAAAC